TCCTTCCTTCCTTCCTTCCTTCCTTCCTTCCTTCCTTCCTTCCTTTTTTTTTGGCTGCCAGTAAGAGAAGCAAAAGCCAGCCATATCTGTAGCTACTAAAATCCATGTGGTCGCAGATGTGTTGTCCCCATCATGTGAGCTTTGGCACTGTCCCCAAAGCCCTGTTATCTCTACTTTCTGTGAATCAATAGCACAGAGCTGACTCAGGTAAGCCCATGAATATCCACAAAGCACAAAGCAGGAGAGGGGGAGGGCACCAGTTCTCCAGCATGCATAAGGAGGGGCCATAGGGAATTTATAGCCCCAAACCACCCTTTATCCCACCTCTGCCCATGGAAATCACAGGAGGCATCAGGAGTCAGTGGCAGCCCCTCACCAAAACCACTCCTCCAGACCCTCCCCAAACCACTCCTCCTGGGGTCCCTTGGGCAGGAATTTGTCTTCAGTCATGGATTTACCTTGCATAGCCCTATGAGGTGCTGGGGGTGGAGGGTGAGGCAAAGGCAAATAATGTGGGTCCAACTTTCAAGGGTAAACTTTTTCAGGAGAGAGAAATGACTAAACATGGAAGTCTCGGAAGGTGTGACAAATGCACCATAAGTGTCTGGCAAATGGAGGAGGGCCAAAATCTCAGGAGATGATGAGAATGGGAGAGGTCACCCAATGACAGGCCCCACCTGAGGGATGTGTGCAGCAAACTCAGCTAGTGCCTGGATCTGTGACCTCAATTACCCTCACCTGACCCTCCCAGGCAGAACTGTACTACCCTTCTCACTGGTGAGGACCCAAGGAGTTTGGCTTCAAATCCCATGCTCCAAACCCCTCCGCTGCCCTACCTCATTAGCAGGACATTATCAGCGCCAAGAAATCCCTGGGACATCAGACTGCCAAGGGGAGATCAGGTCTGGGGAGACCTTGAATGCCACGCTAAACAGTTTGGGCTTGACTGAGGAGGCCCTAGCAAAGGGATTTGCTAAACTGTGACGGAAGTGCTCTAATTTATTGTATTCCACTACTACAAGACTTACTAGTCAACGGGGAGAAGGAAGCAAGAAGAGAATGAAAAATCGGCAGAGGCAAGAGCAGGATCAGCAGGTCCCTGAGGCAGTGCTAAAGCAGGGGTAGGGGTGCAGTGGGAAAGAGCTAAGGACAGGCTTGGGTGCTTCCAGCCCCAGCGTGGAGCCCAGGGGCAGGTGTGGTGGGGTCCGGGTTGCAGGGGGCGCCTGGGCCGGCGACGCTGCGGGCCTTCCCCGCGTCCGCACTCACCCAGGACCGCGCAGGCCAGCAGGGTGCGCACCGCGAGCCTCATCTTCCCAGGACTGCAGCGTGGAGCAGCGACAGAACGACCCGCTTCTGCGCCGCCTCCCTGCGCCCGGCGCCCCTTTATCCCCGGCGGGGCGGGCAAAGCACAATCCTTGACCTCCAGTGTTTGCGCAGCCCGCTTGCCCAATCGCCCCTAATCCCTCCCCCTTTCCTTCCTCGCCCCCGCCGATCATCTCATTTCCTGAGCTCTGGGACAGACCCGTGGATGGAATCCAGCACAAAAATGCTGATTGAAAAGAAATTAAAGAAAAACCATTCTCTTGTTAATGCGCGCTTGCTCTGTGCCAGGAGCGGAACTGCAGCGGGTAGGGGGTGGGGGAGTGTGGGAGGAGGGGGA